TATTTCTATCATACGACTTACCACTCAACCCTGTAGTAGTCACTGATTAGCTTCCTTGTCTGCCCACTCACCATAAACTTCTGACAGCAGGGTCTATGCCTTATTCATCTCAATAACTATCACAGTGCCTAGCTCTCAAAAATGTTTTCTGATAAATGACAAGTACAGGAAAATGGTTTTTTTTTTTAATTTTTTTTTTAAGTCTAATTATGCCATTTCACCTTAATAGGCTTCTTGGAAAAAATGAGGAATTTATTCAGAAAACTTTAGAAAGGAGATTTACAAATTTGCAAAAAATGATAATCATCCAGGGCTGGTAAAGAATCATACAGTGCTAATAGAACTGTAACATGCAACAAGTATAATGTTTTTGAAAAGTAATCTGACAATTCACTATCAATTAAAAGTGCATCTATCCTCTGACTCAGCAATCCCATGTAGGGGTTCTGAACAAGTCACCCCAAGATGTGCCTCTGTGGTATACAGATTATTTTGAGCTAAACAACTGAGACCTACTTTTAGGAACATTACTACTTTTCGTAACTTTACTTAACAAAAATCAAGTATCCATATGCAACATTATATTTACAAGGAAATTTACTGAAACACTGTTTGCTATAGCAAAAATAATTCCTGGAAACTAACCTGAATGTTCATCAATAAGGAAATGGTACAACCTTGCCATGTAACACTCATATTATAGAATATTCTGTAGCTACTAATCAGAATGAATTAAATCTATATGTAAAGACCTGACAGGATATCCATGATATCCATGATATCCATGATACATTCAGCAGAAAACAGAATAATCCAATCTGGAGATAAAAAAGATAAATATTTGCATTTTCATTTGTAAGAACGTTAAGAAAGAGAGGGGGAAGCAGTTAATACCAGACAGTTAGTTAATACCACTGACCTCAGAATTGGAGATAAACTTTTCCCAACAAGTTTGTAACTTTTCTAATTTAAAATAGGCAAAAAAAATGAGGAATGTTTCAAAAGTAAGGAGAGTAAAATCTGAATATAGTCTCCCTTCCTCCAATGTCTTAAAAAAAAAATCCTGTTAATGAAAAGGTGGTGCTTCAGAAGAGCCAAGAATTCTGTGGACTATCTCCTTTATAGATAATTTAAACTTTCTTTTCAAAAAAAAACAAACCAAAAAAAGTATCTCTTCCTCCACCCTATCCTTTCAAAAGGAGAAAGGTGTATTCCTACAAGCTTAAAATCCAGTGGACCTTCCTATCTAGTTTCTTCTACGAGTGGTAATCTGCTTCGGGGATTTGTAATCAGGAGCTTGGAAATTTTAGAATGCTCATCAGATTTTCACAATCATACCATTTATTCACTGAGAGTAAACAGAAGTGTTACATGAGAAACTTGAGTAAGACAGCTAGGTCTCACTGAAACATTTCTGTCCTGAAATTGGGAAAGCTAACTGCTACTTGGGCGCCCCCTGGGGATCAAATGTAATTTTTTTTTTTTTTTTTTTACATCTTTAAGACAAACTAGTGTCCTCTAAAAATATTCATTCAGTCTACAGCCATGGCACCCCGAACAAGCCCGATCCCGTCTGATCTCGGAAGCTAAGTAGGGTCGGGCCTGGTTAGTACTTGGATGGGAGACCACCTAGGAAGACCAGGTGCTGTAGGCCTAAAAAATAAAAAATAAGAGATTGTAAGCTGACAAGGTCCTAGCAATCTGTGAAGTCTACTAAGGGTTGCCTTGCCTAAAAAAATAAAATAAAATAAAAAATAAAAAATAGATAAAAATATTCATTCAAAGAATAATTAAGCACTGACTATGTGCCAGGTACAATATTCAACACTTGAGACACAAAGATAAATAAAATCGAGTTTCTGATTTCTATATGCTTAAAGTCAATATCACCGAAAATTTTCTAAGCATAGTAAGGATAGCCAAAGTATAAGTTACCCTTACAAGCCCTGGAGGAAGTTAAGACACAGAAGATGATTAAGAATGCTTTTGGGGTGCTACGGAAAGCAATTTGGCATGGATACAAGCTTTAGCATAGTTTGTTTATGTAAGCAAAATCTTCACCATCTTAAAAAGAGGAGGTTTAAATATCCCTTCCCACTAACATGTGCAAAATTGTAGTTGTTATTTTCAAAGACAAGTTTAGGCTATGGCACCATAATTTTTCTTGGGCCAAAACAATATACATGAGGTTTAGTTTAAAAAATTCAAAAATGATTCAGCATCCCCATCATGATTTTTTCGTAACAAGTTATTCCACAATAACTCCACCCTGAGCACTGAACTCTAATAAATGATTGCACTCTTAGTAAACAGCTTATTTTCAAAAACAAATTGAGTATGAGAGGACATAGAAAATAGAAACAAGTTAGAAAATAAAACTGAAAAAGACCTCTACAAAAGAAATGGACAAAGTCAACCCTAAAATCCTCCTCAAACCTCTTCCTCCCAGTTCAAAACACCTTCAGAAGATACTGTATCAGATTTGCCTTTTCTTCCTCAGAGTCTTGGAAAGCAAGTAGCAGAAGTAGAATTAATTCTCCAGGAAATAAAACAAGTACTATCTCCCCTCCAGTTTAACGCTCATCCCAAAAAGCAACGCCTTGCGACATTAGAGGGCCAGATAGTCTCAGGTACTATAGCCTAAAATGTACTTCTGTCAGCCGGAGTTGGTAATCAATGTAATTTTCCCAAAGAAACAATTCTATTTCAAACACATTTCAGGTACACTGTGAGCTAAATTAGCAATGGCATGATAGCTGGGAAATTTAACTTTGATTTATATAACTTTTT